AAAAAGGAGCCGTTTTCTAATTTTTCTACTTTCAATATTAAATCAAAAAACGAATGATCGAATGATACACGGATTCATTATTAATAGCCCACATACTGTTTTCTTTTCATTCGCTCTTCTTTCCACAGTCACTCTTGTTTTGTCTTCACACGAGCATCATTGTGCAATTAATCCATAATGCCAAACTCAGTTAACCCACCTTAAAATCCAATTCCTGATGTGGGCGATCTACTTGAGGTCCTTAGGTTGCCAGATATTCATTTAAAGGATCAATACACATGAAGTAAAGAGTAGTAAAACATAGTATATACTAAAAAGATCTATCTTCATTGTATTTTGTCTACAGGAAAACTTTTTGCAGCTGCGGTTTATAAAAAACTAGGCCAAAAAACTTTCCCGCAACTGCATTTTCAAAATAGTGCAGGAAAACCGCAACACTGATGGTGATGTCTAGTATTTTCTGTTCGCAATCCAGCATGTGCAGTGCAGTCTGAGACCACTAGTGAAATACATCTGCTTGCTTTTTTTTCAAATAACACTATATGAATGGATATTAAACAATATAGGTGAATTTTTTAGAACATCTTTGTATTTGGTTTGTCTCTTTTTGCTTTAATGACTGCAGTATACTATAACTGACATGATGATCACAAAACCTGATGATCGTGTTCTCCAGCATGATTTGAGATCATTCAAAGAGCATCTTGTGTTTTAATAGAAGAAAAAACCTTTTGTAGAAAGAATTTCTCATGCTTAGTGTCAGAAATTGGTTATATTTATTAGTGACCTAGAAACGCATTGTAAAAAATTATTTCTGGAAGATAATTAAGTTAATTTGAAGTAAATTAAACAAGGATTACTGGAGTATGTATTAAAAATATTGTCTCAGTCTTTCTACTTTAGAATTTCACATTCAATTCAATGTGTTTCTTTCCATTTATGTGTAATCATTTACTAGCAATTTCTGGGTGAAAATTGTTTCAAAGTAACAAAACTACACCAATTTTATTTCAGTGAGGTCCAGAATTTTACATCATAATTTTTCTCTAGTTTTAATTCTTGAATTTCTAAAACGTTCTGTTTATTTTCAGGTTTAAATGAAAAAAAACAAACAGATTTTCCATGTGGTCTCAGACTTGGATCAGCTATAGCAGTGCCTGATACCTGCTGTTCATTTTGAAAACCTCAGTTCTTAAAGCTCGAGTCCATTCACAGATGCCAGACTGACCCACGGGCCGCAGGTGGAGGGGATTGTGGGAGAGCGAGGCAACAGAGCTGATGATTGGTGCTCAAACTCAAGGGCTCTTAGAAAGAAAAGGCTGACGCAGCCAAATCCAGCCAACTGCTGCTGCAAAAAAACCTGGCAGCGCTGTGATTTTCAGTGTGTGCATTTCAGAGAGAGAAAGTGAATGTTAATATGTGTGTGTGAAAGTGTGTGTGTGTGCCAGTCGCCTTGCCAGCTCTGAGCTGGCTGCTGTATTTCCCAATGGCACCGAGGCAGGAGGTATCTGGAATTGACTGACTCAACCCTCATATTGCAACACAGAATCAGCAGATGCCTCTCCGCACATCACTGCTGTGCAATGATCTGCCTGTTTTCTGATTAATATTGCACTTAATTACATTAAACCTTTATTTGATGTCATCATTACAGAATAAATGCACAGAAACACAGGGTATAACTGAATGTGCTGGCCTATATCAGTGTAAAATCACCTATAATAAGATTGTCACGCATGCTTAGAAAAACTACCCACACAGTAAGCAGTCAGACATGGTGCAAGGAAGCCATGTATGTGTGTGTTGTTTGCGCTGCAGTGCAAAGTCTGCTTTCTCCCTCAGCGGTGACCTTGTTCCAGTGCGCGGACCTCGCCGTATGAGGGGCGTGTTTGTGTGAATGTGTGCTAACATCCACCTTTATGCTGCTCTGACACAAATAAACACTAGAAATGCATTATAAGAAAATGTTTTCATCATTATGTTGACTGGAATCAGCTCTTCATGGCACCATAAAGAGTGTGTGCTTTTGTTATTGTTTTTGCTATATGTTGTGTCTGACGCTTTGTCTGTGTCCTTTCCTCTAGTCAGACCACTGGATGCCAACAGAGAGCCATAAATCTGGAGAAGGTATTTAGCCTTGCTTTCTTTTGTTATCTTATTCTCATAGGTGCATTACTGATTTAGTGAGGTTATATAATATATAATAAAACAGAGTATAATAAAATGACTCATTCTGGTCCTCAATTCTCATGGCAGAATACCTCTTTGGCAGCTACTGTGTCATTACATTGCACCCATAAAAGCCACCTACAGTAAAAGTTTGGGAAATTGTCTTTTGTTTTAAAGAAGTACTTTAATTCAGCAAGGATGCATTAAATCTGATTAAATCAAGAAATCAAAAGAAGAATACTGAAAAAAATTATGATTTAAAGAAATATATTAAAGCAGCAGCACAGCTGTTTTTAACATTGATAATAATACGAAATGTTTCTTGAGCAGCAAATCAACATATTAGAATGATTTCTGAAGGATCATGTGTCACTGAAGACTAGAGAAAATTCCACTTTGCGTCACAGTATAAATTACATTTTAAAATATACTCAAATAGAAAACAGTTATTTTAAATTACAATATGTCACAATATTAATGTTGCATGTTAACCCGAGCAGCTGAGTCTTTAGCCATTTTCAAAAAACATCTAAAGACACATCTTTTTCTCCATTACCTGACCAATTAATACTAGCACCTACCTATTCTATTCTATTCTATTCTATTCTATTCGTTTTGGTCTAATTTATTTTTTTTAAAAATCCTTGCTATGTGCACTGTGCTAGACTATCTGAGACTTGTCACAGCACTTGTATCTTGTATACTGTTACTCTCTCGTTGGTCTGATTGCTTCTACTTTGTAAGTTGCTTTGGATAAAAGCATCTGTTAATGATTAAATGTAAATGTAAATGTTAACCTTGATTTCAGCAACTATTTATTTTATTGGCAGTCCACCTAAAGAATCAACATAATAACGTTACAATTTAATTAAAATTGTCTATAAAGCAATAAAGTCCTTAAGCAATGCTATATTGTATAAAAATATGTTTTGGAGAGTAAAAAAAAAGTTTTTTATGTTACATTACAGGTGCTTGAGATCAGTGAATTGGTTTCTTTAAGTACCAGTATATTGGTGCTATTTAAAGGAATGTTCCAGGTTAAATATAAATTAGGCTACACTCTATAAACAGCATCTGTGACATGCTGTCAATTACCGCAGGAAATAATTTAAACACTTTAGTTTGTAAAAGCAAAGAAATCTTCAATGACAATGCACTCACTGTACATTTGATGGTGTGCACCAAGATAAATGTTAAAAATGCATACTATTTTGAAAGTACAGCCTGAACTTTATACGTGTTCACATGAGACTGGTGCAAGAGAATCACTTACAAACATTTTGCAATATGTAATGTTTTACGCACAACCAGGCACAGATTGTTTACACTGAGATAAATCAACCAATAGGAATTCTGTTGATAACACATCTAACAGATATTGCGTCAATAATTTAGATCCTTGCATCAATATTTATGTCTATATAAATTTATGTGTAATGTGTAATCTATTTATGTACATGTATAATGTTGTTTTCAATTAATGATGAGGCCGGTTGTCTAATTAACCTTCCAGAATGTATCAATGTAAAGTTTATACAATAGCATGTCACAGATTCTGTGCTGAACCCGGAATGTTCTATAAAGAGAGAAGGGTTTTCTTTCTCAGTGTTATTCATTTATTCTCTCTCTCAGTGGTGAGGTGGTTGGATGTGTATCAGAGAAGTGGATGTCATCCCAGAGAGACGCTGGTGGAAGTTTGGCGGGAGTTTCCATGGGAGACACATCACCTCTTCCTGCCGTCGTGTGTAACGCTGCGCCGCTGTGGAGGCTGCTGCTCCGATGAGGCACTGGAGTGTGTGCCGTCACAAACACACACACTTGTAATGGAGGTACATACACACACAAACCAGTGCACTTAATGCAGAGTTCACACAGGTGCAGTTCCTCACATTAATTATGGACGTGTTCCATAAACATTCGACATCCAGTATCTTTTTATTAATAAATCCTATTTGTTTTGATATTTAGTTATCTAATGCAATGGTAAAAATGTGACTGAATTGTCCAAATACTTTTTAGGGACCTCTGCTTATCATTACATACACCATTGTTCAAAAGTTTGGGGCTGGTAAGAATTTTTTATGTTTTTTAAATCTCTTATGTTCACAGAGGCTGCATTTTTTTTGATGAAAAAAACAGACAAAAAACACTACTATTGTGAAATATTATTACAATTTAAAATAACTATTTTCTATTTGAATATAACTTAAAATAGAATTTATACCTGTGATTCAAATCTGAATTTCCTGCAGCCATTACTCCAGTTTTGTGTCACATGACCCTTCAAGAAATCATTCTGATATGTTGATTTGCTGCTGAAGAAACATTTCTTATTATCAGTGTTAAAAACAGTTGAGCTGCTTAATATTTTAAAAGCAATGTCCTCTCTAAAATCTTCCTGACACCAAACTTTTGAAAGGTTAATGTACAGTAAAATTCTCTCCATTTCACCACTCACAGAAACACTCATAGAAACCTTTCACACATACATGTACTATTTTACATTCACATGCTTAATGTGGTGGTATGCAACACTCATATTACATGTATACGTCAATAATTACAGATTTTTAGGGGCAAAGTACCTCCACACACAAACACACCCCGTATAATGCAAGATCTCAAACCACACGGCTTAGTATGGTGAATAAAACATCCAGAAAGACACACACACACACACAGAGGACACACAGCATGAGTTAGTCATACATATTCAGTGTGGGTAGATGAAGTCTCTAGTGTAATGGATCAGGTTGGATCCTGGTCACGTACTGTATAGACAGATTGAGGGATAAAAGATGAAGTCATTACTATGCAGAACAGATTGTGCATCTGTGTGTGTGTGTGTGTGTGTGTGTGTGTGTGTATGTGTGTCTGTGTGCGTGTATGCATGCATTTAAATGCTGACTCCTGCTCTGTTGAACTCCACAGCTCATGAGGACCTCATACATGAAGCATGAACTTGTGCAGCTGCCTTTTATTGAACATAACCAGTGTGAGTGCAGGTGAGATACATGCTCACACACATACGCACAAACTGACCTAGCAATGTCAGTAAGGGCAACATACCATAGACTTATATTCCCTAGTAAAAAGTAATTTAAAATACATTTACTTTGTACCAAGTATAGTTCAATGCGGAGTTTTGCGCATCGTGTGTGTGTGTGTGTGTGTGTGTGTGTGTATGTGTGTCTGTGTGCGTGTATGCATGCATTTAAATGCTGACTCCTGCTCTGTTGAACTCCACAGCTCATGAGGACCTCATACATGAAGCATGAACTTGTGCAGCTGCCTTTTATTGAACATAACCAGTGTGAGTGCAGGTGAGATACATGCTCACACACATACGCACAAACTGACCTAGCAATGTCAGTAAGGGCAACATACCATAGACTTATATTCCCTAGTAAAAAGTAATTTAAAATACATTTACTTTGTACCAAGTATAGTTCAAATCTATTAACATATTTACTGACATATCGCTCGAGACTTACTGATATAAAAAGTATTATTCAACTGTATTTGGAGTATCACTTGTGCACAATGCACATTTCTTAATATTAAGCCTAAAATGTGTTTGATATCACCATTGCTGAGGATCGTATGATCTTTGAATAATATCGGTCTTTAAATGCAAGATATTTAAAGTGTACCTGAAATATACTTGCAATAGTTCCACTTTAGCACAGATATACTTCAGTATATCTTTAGTTGAACTTCAGCACTACTTCCGCACAATTAAAGTGCATTAAGTACAAAATTAGTTGTTCCAATTTAGCATACTTTAAAGTATACCAGTTTAGTATACTAAATGTACAATTGCAGGATATTTTTATTAAGTACATAAATATGGAAATGTATTTGTACACATAACATGAAATAAATGTACTTTAAATACATTTTAGTATATTTATTTTTTAGTAGGGTTGTTTTAATATAAAGCTAATTGTTATGCATCACAGACTATCTCAAACCCTAAGGGGCAGTTCACATGACATGGTCTTGTGTTTAGAAAATTTTAGACAAAGCACTTTGAAATGGAATGGTAAAAGCTGAACTACTTTTAATTTGATGCACCACCCTAAAAATCGCTGTGCTTGTGGTGCCAAACACTAAAAACCGGTGATGCAGCATCGAAGACTATGCATTTGAGCAGAAATTTGAAAACAGTAACGAACAGGAGAACATATTCTGCGTGAAAGGCCCTTAACCCTAACTAAACAATTATTTTGCATTTGTAGAATAATAAAATCAATTATATGGAAATCCTTATAATTACTAAAAATGAGATTATAAAAACCTGAAAAGTTAAGAAAAAATACTTTGAAATTGTTAGGTTTTTCTCTGGTTTTGACATCAAAACAAACATGTATAAAGAGTAAAAAAGTTTTTTTTTTTTTTATGCACTAACATTAAACACTTTGGGGATCTTTTTTAAAATTTTTATTGATTAATACTTTTATTCAGCTAGGATGCATTAAACTGATTAAGAGTGACAGTAATTATGGTTAAAAAAAAAAGTTAAAGACTTCATCAAAGATCCTGAAAAAAAAGAAAAATAAGTATTAAGCAGCACAACTGTTTTAAACACTGATAATAACAAGAAATGTTGCTTGAGCAGCAAATCAGCATATTAGAATGTTTTCTGAAGGATCATATGACACTGAAGACTGGAGTAATGATGCTGTAAATTCAGCTTTGCATCACAGGAATAAATTACATTTTAAAACATAGAAAACCATTATTTTAAATTGTAATAACATTTCTTAATATTACCATTTTTACTGTATCGTTTTATCAAATAAATGCAGCCTTGGTGAGCATAAGAGACTTTTCAAAAGCATTTTAGAAAATCTTATTGACCCCAAACTTTAAATGGTAGTGAAACAGAGCGAAATTGTAAATCAAAAATCATTGAATGATAAAAGAGCACAGCTTACACGACTTTATTCATTGTCAGGTTATTAAGCATAATTATTAGAAGATTTACTATATTTATGAACCATTTTACCCTTGAAAACTCTCAGAATGAAGGTTGTCACATTTTGCTAGCTTGTAGGGGGAATTTTTTCCCCTAAGAATAGCTAAGTGAACCCACCCACACACACCCCAATCCAAAGCCTATCTGACTTTCAGATCACCCCTCACACACACAAATGCACTTCCACCCTGTTTGTCACATGGGGAATGACCCCATCTCCCCACGGACTACTTCCTGAACCCAGTCACAGAAAGTAGTCACCCCCGAAACACTCTTCTGTTGGCGCGTAGCCGACTTCAAAAGCCTTTTCAGAGGTTGTGGGGTTCGGATTAAGGCCAGGGGTGGAACAGAGCGTTCGGTAAGAGCATTTACATGCGCTCGCCTCTCGATCCTTTCTTTGTAATACTGATCTGCCCCGTACAAACTGAACTCACCACTGTTGACCAACCCTGAGTTACTTAAACACCCACGCTAAACCACACAGGCAAACAGCCAACATTATTAACTGCGGCCAGTCTGAGGCTCATGTTATCATGCGATAAAACATTTATCTTACTCATACAGGTGCATCTCAATAAATTAGAATGTCGTGGATGTCACCATATTCTAATTTGTTGAGATAGTGAATTGGTGGGTTTTTGTTAAATGTGAGCCAAAATCACCACAATTAAAAGAGCCAAAGACTTAAACTACTTCAGTCTGTGTGCATTGAATTGATTTAATACACGAGTTTCACAATTTGAGTTGAATTACTGAAATAAATTAACTTTTCCACGACATTCTAATTTATTGAGATGCACCTGTAATGTTTACACTCTCACATGCTAGAACCATTATCTTGTGACAAATTGTATATATGTATGCATGTGATATATATATATATATATATATATATATATAAACTGGTAGAACTAAGCTAGTTAGGGTTGCCAGTGGGGGACTAGTTCACCACAGATGTCCGGTCAGAGACATGAAGATGCAGTTTAAAGTTCTTATGATGCTTTTATTTCCTCCACAATGATTCCATTAAAGTTCAAGAAATGTTGAGCACATAAGTGCCGACAATTACTTTGTTTCCATGAGTGTATGCGTGTGTGTGTGTGGTCTGAAACAAGCATATAATAACAAAATTAGAATAAATTCATTAAACTCAGTAAATTCATACAATGCAAGGTAGCAAACAAACTTCCAACAACAGTCAGCATCACGTGAATATATGAACAAATTAATCACTACTTCTATACAAGTACCTTTAAACAATGAATATCAATCGAACAGAATATAAATTCAGAAAGGTCGCAGTTAACATGAGCTGAAGTAAATAAATTAACTTACTTGGTGCATATAATATGCACACAACACCAAACATGAAGCAAGCATCAAGTCCTTATTCTTTCACCCACTCCATGCGGGTCTATTTCTACAAGACGCTAATCAACGCCACCTGCTGGAAATGGTCGGAGCGTAGCGTCTTTACGTTGCTGTGTTGACAGCGCAATCAAACACTGGCTGATCACCAGAACACTTCAAAATAAAAGTGCATTTATGTTGGGCCTTTTTAACAGCCGCCCCCAGATTTCTAAAGAATGAGGAAATCTGTACATTACGAAAAGGCCAAAGTCAAAATTTCAGTCTGGTATCACAGGTAGCTGTACAACTTTTGCCACAGGTCGCACATAAGACTTGTCTTTAACTTTTACTTCAACAGTCCTGATTCTTGATATTGTCCACCCCACAGAATACTTGAGAGATCTGACCAATAGGCCATAGGGCCCTGGGAAAATAATGGGTCCACAATCATAACAGTAGTTCCCACCTTAATATCGGGTGACTCTCGCTGCCACTTGCTGCGAGTCTGAAGACCAGGCAAAGAGAACTTGATAAACTGCTTCCAAAAGTGATCTGCTATGATTTGGCTATGACGCCAACGACGTCGACTCAATAGTTTACTTTGAGGGTATATCACTTGAGGAAGGGTTGAATCAGATCGCAGAGGAGCGAATTAGGAGTAATAGGATCTGGATCAGAGGCATTGGGGGATGTATACCCCAGGGGTTTAGGATTTAGGATCCCTTCAATCTCAATGAGCACAGTGTGACGATTTCCTCAAGGATCTTTGGGTTCTTTTGAAACTTCTGACACACTGGACAATCTTTGTGCTGATAGCGTCAGATTGCTTTCTTACACCGAAGGATCCAGTATTTCCTACCTATCTCTGCCAGTATTCGCTCAGGACCTGGGTGGAGTAGCTTTGTGTCATAGTCCTTAAAGGGTTAGTTCACACAAAAATTAAAATTAGTCCATAAATTAGCTTGCGCCAACAGTTGTACACGGAAGCAGTTCCGGGCAGATGATATATGAGTTCAGCGTTGCACATGTGCTGGTGAGTCTCATGAAAACCAACGTTTGTTAACAGGAGCAAAGGAAGCAAAGTTTCCTTAAAGGGGTCACATGATACTGCTAAAAAGAACATTATTTTGTGTATTTGGTGTAATGAAATGTGTTTATGCGGTTTAAGGTTCAAAAAA